GTAGGGTAGGCTATTTAATACAAAAGGCTTTTGAGTGAGTAGGTATGTACATAAATCTTGAGAGGGGTTGTCTCGCAATGAGATGAGTGGGGAGAGTTGATCCGAAGGTTTAATTGAGGTTTGAAGATACATTTGGTGAATGTTGCTATTGGAAACTATGTTGTGTGTTCTTGAGTGCAACGATACATCACAAACGTTAGTCTGCAATTTAGGACTAGCCATGAGAGAATCATTGAGAGGGTGTTGTGATTCAGTGACGATTGAAACGTTTTTATTGAGATGGCTGTTTGAGTTGAATAAGCTGGTGGAACTTCCCCAACTTGCATGAGAGTCATCAAAAATGAGGTCTAATTCTGGGAGTCTTACAGAGGATGAGGTTAAAATGTCACTTATCCGTGTTGAGTTTTCATTTTCCTCTGGAACATCCTGAGGCTGCTGTTCCAGTCGAACTTCAATGCGGAATTTTGCCTCGATGAAGAGCAATCATAGTTTATGTTCATTATCACTTACTTAATCAAAATCCAAGTCCTCTGGGAAAAGTTCTAAAGCTGTTTCCAGGTTTTCTTCATAGGTTTTGTCTCCCTGGTTTAACTCGTTGAGAAGTTAGTTAAAGTCTTGATTTGTGTCACAGAGAGAAGGGAGGGTGAATGGCTTTCCAGCTCTTGGACTGATTTAAGAATATTTTCAAAGGACTTTTGGATGACTAGAATAGATTTTTCAAAGTTCGGAAGTGTAATTGGTTTGTTGGCCATGTTGGACGAAATAAAGGAAGAGAAAAGAGAAAAATTGTGTTAAGAATGAAAGAGAGTTTGGTTAACTGTGAGAGTGAGCAAAAACAATAGGAAATTAATTGGTAAAAATAAGAAAATTCGATAGCTTGAGAGGGTGTAAGAGAAATAATTAATAAACAGGGAGCAAATGCGAAATAAGAGGTGTGAGAGTGGATGGAATCTAAGGACTGATATTCAATATCCGGCTCGAAGGACCAATGATTAATTAAGAGAATGGTATTAGTATGGGAATAAAATATGATTGAGAGAGTGATGAGACAAGAGAATAATTGAGATAGTGAGAGTAAAATGAGAAAGAGTAATGGTAAATATTTCGAAGGACCAGAGGGGTAATATGTAGAGAGATAGAGATATTGAGATTAATGAATATGAGAGAGAGAGAAAATGAACACACTTATAAGGTTTACAAGAGGACAAGAACACTGTTATATTTACATTTTTAATACAACATATGTTAACAATATAATAAAAAGGAATAATTTAAATGGCATCAAACACATGTTGCTAAGAAGAGAGTTAGTTTTAAGTAAAACAAAGAGGACGAAATAAAATGTTCAAGTTTACTGAACAACTGTATTTTATTTTATAAAGCATTTTTTCACTTTCCCGAAATAATTACGATCAATTTTAGCCATGTTTTAGCTAGGTACCGGTATTTTTATGTAAAAACAACAATATGTTCTGTAATCTGAACTATTCAATAGTTCGAACTATCCCCGGTCCCAATTAGTTCAGATTAAAGAGGTTCTACAGTATCCCTTTTACTGTTTGGTAAATAATTAGGTTTCTATGTACAATTTCAATACAAGAGTAAATTTGTACCCAAAAAACAATCCACATCCTGCTTGATCTGTCACGGATTATTGACTTTCTGTGTATTGTTTTTTTTTTAATTACATTGAATTTTAGCCTCCTGGTCAAAATTTAAATAGGCATCTATAAATTTGTGTAAATACCTGCATTTATGCGATTCAGTTTGTAGCTGATTTGCTACCGGTCCCAACTCACATAGGAGTCATCTTCAGGCTATTAAAGATGTCTTCTCGCTTCATTCGAAGGTCGTCAATTGATAATAAATAAATAAACAAAACACGAACATGTACACAAACATTTAGGATTAAAAATACTGAAACGGTAGGCCTACCGGACACGACAAGATCGGACGGGAGTTATGTCTAGACTGCCAGTCAGGATCAACGTAGTCAGTGATGACGTCGTGACAGATTTCCTGATCAGCTGACAATTTCATTCACAAATGTCATTCGCTTTAGTATCTTAATTTCAGTGTCGTATATGTAATTTGATTTGAACAAAATCTTGTCGTTGATGATGTTTTGGCTGTCAAATTTAACGGCCGTAATAGATTTTGAATTCTTCCAATATGTTTCTATTGAATCAGTCGTTTGATAGGTCCAGGATTTTCATATTAATATCAATTACATATTGTAATTGTGGTTGAGAGAAACCAGATGTTCTGCGAAGGTTGAAGTTTGTGCAGCTGTAGTTTTTTTTTGTAGATGTTCTTTAAACCTTTTATTAAAAGAACGGGATGTTTTGCCTATGTAATATTTTGGACAATCACTATAATTGAATGGTGCACACTTTTTTTAAGGTTGCAGTAGGTATCTAGGGAGGTTTTTTTTTAGCAAAGATCCAGGTTTATTATCAGTTTTGATTGAGACTGTTATTCTACAGGGTTATTTCAACAGAATGGTGCAAAACTAAACGGTTGGTTTGTCTGTTTCCGTGATTCAAACAGATGATTGTTGCAACAATGGAAAGGGGGTATTTACAAGTTTATTTTGACAAGGTTATGTTTGTTATCAGTTGCTTAGTTGAGTACCATGGCTACTACAAAACTTAGCCTCGAATCTCTTCACAGCGCCTGGTAGGGTCTGAGGACGGCCCAAACTCTTCCTAGCACACAAACATCCAGTTGTGTTGAATTGCCTCACCCAATGAGCTATGCAGTTCCGATGAGGAGCCTCCTTCTTAATTTGTGTCAGAACGTTCGGCTGGACACAAACAATTTGTACAAATGTGCATTTGTACGAGAAACTCTAAAACATAAAATGCGTTTTCTTTTTGTAGTATCTATTTGTGGACAGGTTTCATGATACTTAACTAAGCAACTGAGACAAACTTAGAAACACACCTTTTCCATTGTTGTAAAAATTAGCTATTAAAAATAACAGAAATAGACGTACCAATCGTTTATGTTTTGCAACATTCTTATTGAATAACTCTGTATTGTTATCCATTATGTTTTTAAATTTGGTGCTGAGGAATAAACCATACTTCGCAGAAACATAGGTTTTTTTCTCTTTGGTTTTAGCTTTTTTATTTTTATGTTTAGAAATAAATTTGTCAATCAAGTTGCTTTGGAAACCATTAGAAGCAGCTACCTATATGTTTAATTGTATTGAGTTCTTCTGTGAAATCTATCAAATTCATTGGTACGGAGTCTGTGAATGAAACTGTTGTAACTGCTAATTTTTTTGGATGATGGGAATTGAATCTTATGTGAGTTGAAACCGGTAGCAACTTATCTACAAACTAGGTTGCATAAATGCAGGTATTTACACCAATTTATAATATTATTTTTTTATTACATCACATTATAGTTAATGTAAACAAACTAATTCAAATAGTGAAATAATTTTAATTGTAATTATACTATTTATAGCCATGGTCTGACAAATCAACCAACAGAAAAAGCAAATAAAGCGATTCTTAACAGAAAAAGAATTCAATATGATCAAGACATGTGGCAAATGAAATAGCTGTGGCTCTTCACACTTGTGAAAAATAAATATATCTTGTAAGGTGTTATCAATTAATTGTCTAGTTTATGTTTCTTATTTTAGAAATTTATTTTCAGCAGGCAAGATAACAAATTTAGTTTTGAAATATTTATTGGTCAACAATCTTTTGATGATATTGTTAGAGAATATTGAGGTGGGGGAGGGTGTTGCATAATGTTCAACAATAAATTAGGGAGTCTCATAAGTACAAATCACATAAAACTAAGATTCTATTTTTTGATGTTTTAAGATGCTCTTTATTTGTTTAGTTCTATAACACATAAATTGTAATTATTATTGTAAGTTAAAAGAATAAAAAAGAATGACAAAAACCAAAAATCCAGAAAGGTCCCAGCTGATAATGTTCAAAGAACAGTTGTGAGAGACACAAATCTAGGACATAACAAAATTCACTCAAAATGTTAATGATAATTTATCAATGTATTTGTTTATATATATCCCGATGAAATTTTGTAACCAGATATTTTATTAGGGATAGCAATTATGTAAAAAATAAATAAAAGATACCAAGTGAAGGACTACTCATATGCAGATGCGTCCATGGTCCCTTGGTCACATGTTGTAAAAGATGACAAGTTGAAGGACTACTCATTTGCAGATGCGTCCATGGTCCCTCGGTCACATGTTGTAAAAGATACCAAGTTGAAGGACTACTCACATGCAGATGCGTCCATGATCACTCGTCACATATTGTAAAAGATACCAAGTTGAAGGACTACTCACATGCAGATGCGTCCATGATCACTCGTCACATATTGTAAAAGATACCAAGTTGAAGGACTACTCACATGCAGATGCGTCCATGGTCCCTCGGTCACATGTTGTAAAAGATACCAAGTTGAAGGACTACTCACATGCAGATGCGTCCATGGTCCCTCGGTCACATGTTGTAAAAGATACCAAGTTGAAGGACTACTCACATGCAGATGCGTCCATGGTCCCTCGGTCACATGTTGTAAAAGATACCAAGTTGAAGGACTACTCACATGCAGATGCGTCCATGGTCCCTCGGTCACATGTTGTAAAAGATACCAAGTTGAAGGACTACTCACATGCAGATGCGTCCCCATGGTCCCTCGGTCACATGTTGTAAAAGATACCAAGTTGAAGGACTACTCACATGCAGATGCGTCCATGGTCCCTCGGTCACATGTTGTAAAAGATACCAAGTTGAAGGACTACTCACATGCAGATGCGTCCATGGCCCCTCGGTCACATGTTGTAAAAGATACCAAGTTGAAGGACTACTCACATGCAGATGCGTCCATGGTCCCTCGGTCACATGTTGTAAAAGATACCAAGTTGAAGGACTACTCACATGCAGATGCGTCCATGGTCCCTCGGTCACATGTTGTAAAAGATACCAAGTTGAAGGACTACTCACATGCAGATGCGTCCATGGCCCCTCGGTCACATATTATGAGACAATCTCTGTTGCAGCTCTCTCCCAGCTCAAAGAATGTGTTCTCTATCTGTAACATTGTCTTGAGGAGGTTCTCTTGAAACTTGTAACCTGCAACAAACCACCAAAGTCACCTCAATCAACTGACATTCCCATTTTTAACTGCTTCCTGTCAAAACAATAATGAGATATTATAACTATGATATCAACAATGAAAAATACTTCAAATACATATAGACTTCCATATTAATCATAGGCAAAGAGTTGTGAGTTTATACTGATTCTGAGCTGTATGAAAAATCAAGTTTTGCTACATAATAATAAATGTTTTGTGTAGCCAAAATGATTATGATGAATAAATATGAAGATTTTTTTAAATAATTGGGTTTGACTCAGAAATATATTTAGGTTAATATATAAAATATTTTATGATGGTATAGGCTCGAACCTCTCATATATGGCTGTGAAGATGGCATGCATTTACAAAACAATACCAGTAAAACCCGACAAGGACTCATCTGCATTCAAACCATTCTTATAATAATAATAATGTCTATTTATATTTACCCGTGTAACTGATGTATTAGTTGGACATAGACACAATACATTCCACCTTTTTAATGCTAAATGTTAAGGAATTTATTTTCCCGATTCAATCTCATGACAAATCTTTATATTAACCTCGTTCGTATAATGAATTAATTAATTTATGACCTAAAGCTAATTATAAGTTAAAACTGATAAATGAAAATAGTAAGAGGTTTAAGGTAATTTAAATGGTTAATCAATGTTGTCTACTGAGCATTCCATATACAACTTTCCAGTCAAAATAACATTAATACAATGTAAAATTATTTTTTTTAAATTTGAAACACCATGTAGAATATTGATTAAGGTAAATAAAAACATTTGAGTAATTATACATGCAATGAATTTCACCCAGAATGTGAAACCTTTATTTATCATAACAATATTTTGGTCTTTATTATAGCTATCAATCTCCAATATAATTATCAACTTTGAAGGATTTAAGAAAGGTTTCCATGAATATTTTAACTAACCTTATGGTTTTGATGTACAGTACATGTTTTGGTTGCCCATTTATTTAAGGTAATAATAAATATCGACACACAACACCTCCAGAATCAGTTTACACAGATAAGATTACATGAGCTACTACTTTGTAAAAAATGAACCAAATTTATGAGTGCAACAAAAAATACTATCTGACATTACTAGTCCAAAAGATAGGCATTTACCCAACGACTGTGGTTTTCCTGGTGCGAGACAAAATCAAATGAGGGATTACTATAGGTGTACATTGAACACGTGTCGAAAGAGTGACCTACAATATTTTTTCCAATTACTGAGGTAAAAGTAAATTTACTACTGATTAAATCAATCCAGTTGATCATCCCGTTGGCTTTAAGAGATATGTATGACATCACACAAGTGAGCTGCCAACCTTTGGTTTGTAGGAAGAGTAGATGTAATACGTGAATAACCTTTTTGTACTATGCCATTTATGTACTATAGGGTTAGATTAATTATAATGCACATCATAAAAATAAATCAAACCCTGTCCATATTGGGTATTGAAGTTATAAAATACAAACACCAGAAGTAGAACTTGATTAAATTACATGTAGGTAAGGTAGACCAGAAATATCAAGATTAAATAGAGGTAGAAACTACTTAAAGCTTTTTACTTTGATATTATAACAACTTTAGCACAAAACAAACATAAAATATAAATTGATACAACTAACAACAGTACTTTATCGGTAATGTGCACCTAAAAGGTGTATTTATAGGAGTAACATAGTCTGTGCGATGTAAGGGGAGAAAGTACTTTCAAATAATTACTAGTGAAAATAGAGATGCAAAAGAACAACATAATATATGATTGGTATAGTTTGTTTGTTTTGATTTTTCTCACAAATACTTTATTGTTATAAATTATGTATAATATATGTTTTCTAGTTGTAAAAATAAAATGATTGCCATATTTAACTTAAGAAACCATTTACATAGCACTATGTTTTAGTTACAATTAATTGAATTAATTTGTAATTTGCAAAGAATTATTTTTTTAGTGTTGCTACCTTTGATTATAAATCAATATCATTATAAGGTTTTGCATATACAAAATAATAATCTTAAATTTGAGCCGACATGTTTTGAATTGTGAGATGATGAAAAGCCTCTGAAAGATAAGTGGATCAGTTGTTTCAAGAAACCCCTAATTTTCAACACCAACTACAAAACAATTGACTCGACCAATAGTGAAAAGTAGGTAGAAGACTGTGACACCTACCTACAGAAGATTTGGTGCTACTGGGGCGAGTTCCTAAAGTGTTGTTTAAGGAGTGTTATTGACAGAAGCTATAGGAGAAAGGTTTGTCCTAGAACTGACAACCATTGACAAGAGGGGAAATGAAAACCATTGAAAATGTCAACCTATAATTTCTCCTCACAGGTTCTGAAAACATTTTTCACTCTATTTACTGTCAAATTTCAATGATGGTTAGAAATTATTAGCCTTGAAATAAAAGTAAAACTTGAAAAGTAAGGCATTTCAACAGAGCTTGTATAATTTAACTTAAAATCAAATAAATGTATTATAAAACTTGTTACAAAGAAGATAGGATTATTACTATAAATATGTAATAATTGAAACATTATTTAGATGCATTGCACTTCTAGTTTTTTTTTTATCTTCTCGTGTGGCAACAGTATGAGGATAGAGTTAGTTGCCAGTTCCAGGGTGGGAGTGTTAGCAACGTTGCACCCTCTACTCACCCTCACTGAGTACATGGCATCGAGCACACGCATGACTGTCTTTAACCATCTCCGAGACTACAACAAACACATCTTGAGCAAGGAAAATGCCACCCCATAATGTGTGACAAAGAAACATTTTACACTCATCTCACTTGGGTTTTAATGATGCAGTAGAAACTGAATTGAACCAAAAAGAACACGACTAACAGTGTGAATCCTCCAAAAATGTTTAAGTTGAAGTCACTAATAGTTTTTAAAAATCTGAAGGTTATCTTAGAAAAAATTAATTCGGCCAAGGGACTGCGATTATGTGGTTATTACAGAATGATGGCTTTTAATACTTCTATCTACTGTCAATTAATGTTTTTCTTTAGACAAATATTCAAGCTTAAAATCTTGGTATTATTAAAATGACGCAAACAGGTCTTATTGGTTCTATTGAATGTAGTCCATTATCTAATTTTATAAAAAATTCTTCTTTAGCTGCTAACCTTTTTAAGGGTGATTCTTCTTTAACTACTAACATATTAAAATCAGGAGATTGTCATTAATAACGTTTCACTGTGATTGTCCTAGAAGAACACAATGTCAGCTAGGAATGTATGGAATTGTGCCAGATAAATGTACTGCCCCGCCTGACTGTCATTTGTATGGTTAGGTCACCGCCGATCACAGCTCAGGCAGCAGTTATAATTTATGATAAATGGGGAAAGAAAAGATAATCTGACGTAAACAAGGGGGCTGGTGCGCAAATTACACTTTGTAATATGTTTTTGAATATTATTGTATTCTGTATGGATTTCATGTTTTAGTTGATTTACTACAGAAAACAAGGAAAACAAAATACTGAAGAAAAAAACACTGTGAAATAAGATAAATTATAATAATTGCTGCAGACAAGGCATTAATGGATTTTGTAGCTAAATTGTATGAATTTGTACATTTGTATATTTTGGAATAAATTTAAATTGAAAATAGGGTTAAAAACTCATATCCAAGCATTACAAATAATTTAACCCCTTTTTAATCGTTAAAAATTTCTTCTTATTTGAAAACAATTGACATTGAAGAAAAAATGTTATCATTAAGATGATACGTTTGTTGATGGCAAAACTACTAATTTAAAGTATTACAATCTATGATGCCCTGCCTCCTATGATGTCATCCCGACCAATGGTGTTAGTGAAGTTTCAAGTGCTATGGGCAATAATGTGAATGTGAGTGTCAGTGTGAGTGTGACTGGTGATGATCAACCTAGTTTTTTAGGATAACAAATTATGTAAAATGTGATTCAACAATGATACAAAATCACAACATTTAAAAAACCTTTTAGTAAAACCTCCAATCTCAGTATTTTTCACCAAAATGTTCAACATCTAGAATCATGGATCGGTGTTTTAGAAATTCTATTAGAGCACATAAAAACTTATGTGTTAGTTCTTACAGAGCACAAAATGAAAGATTAGGAAATTGATAGGTTAAATATAAAAAAAAATCTTAATGTTAGTTCTTTCTATTCTCGCCATTCAACTTCAGGTGGTGGAGTTTTAATTTTAGCCAAACCTGAATTGCAAATTAAAGAAATGTGTGTACCTGCTGTTAATGACTTAATAATGGATTAAGAATTTGAATGTGCGCTTGTTGAAATTAAAACACAAAAATTAACTTTAGTTCTTGCTTTAGTTTCTAACTTTAGTCTATAGGACTCTGCAACAATGTTTCACACATACTTTCCTGGACAAGTTAAACACTTTACAGTTACTTGAAATTCTAAACAAAATGTATCCCCATGTTGTTGTTGCTGGGGATATAAATATCAATGTTTTAGAAAGTAATAGTACAAGCAATAGACTAAAAAATATGTACTGTTCTGTGAATTTCCCTACGAGAGTGTGTGACAGACACCAAAGAAAGTTCAATTGATCAATTTATAACAAATATTAATAAAAATTAAATTCTTGTTACAGGACTTATGCTGTTATGTTATGTTACAGGATCGGGCGTATGCTGAGACGCACGTGTGTATGTGTGTGGGACATGCGTGGGCCGGCATGTCACAGTTTTCGAAGCATGCGACACAACTTGGGTGCAAGCACGAAACACAATATAGATGAACCGATTCCTCAATTTCCTTGTCGGACTCGGAGTAGTAGGTACTTTCATCCATCTTGACAACTAACCAGCTGTGCTCTCTGCAACTAAATGCTTGTGTTGCGTGGCATGTATCAGTTTGTAGCACAGACACAGATTTTCAGACACACTCAACATAGCTCGTGTGAAATATGACAACAAACAAACGAGTGTCGATTGAGTTCCAATGTGAATTA